GAGAAACCTAGCACCCCTTCCCCGCCTGTAGGACAAGGGACATCTGTAATCTTTAACTTATAGTGAATTTTTACAACTGGGCTAGACCCCGTGGTTTTCCCGTTTACGGGTTTTCCACATAAAAACTCCTGATGTTATCACAGCTTGATTCGTTTTCATCTGAGTGTATGTTGAATCCCCGCGCCACGCAAAGACGATAATCCATTACTCTACTCCATTACTCTACCGCATTACTCTACCACCGCAAATTTTCTAGCACGCCATATTCTTGTTTCTTTCCTTAGGTAATGCATAAAGTATTTATATTTATTTCTCTTATTGTAAAGGTTTACTTTAAGCAAAAGAATGTTTCATGGTTAGTGGCGTACTTACTTTCTCTTTCATGGATTTGTGAAACTTAACGAGTGGCTTCGTAATTTGAGGCCGGATTAATTGCGAAACCACGCCACGGTAAACTGTTAGGTCTTTTTTCTATTGTATGATTGGTCTCAACATATATTTATATACTTTTTAAATATTCATAAAGCCCTTTCGGACTTGATCCCTGTCTTTCTTTCTGAAACAATCTTTCACAAGGCCTCCCATTTATAGGTGCACATAGGCTAACAAACTAAGCATAATCCTTTTCCATCTCCACGCTCACCTCCACTCTTCTCTCAAGTCTTTAACAACAGCCCTACCTCCTAAAATATCTCTTCCAAGCAAAATATACAAGATTATCCAAAATGATGGACTAGTTGTCAATATTACCAGAAACATAAAACTGATGAGGAAAAGCAAATTTATCAAGTTTCTTTCAGATTCTCACTCCCATCATTAAATTTCAATTGCATCCACACACAGGTAACTGAGAACACATCTAAGAAATTGTTCGCTTTATAAGTGGCGAATATTCGTGTGAACTAAAAAGAAACATTAGATGAAAACACAGAGGATTTGTAAGGTTCTATCACGAGTACAAAAACAAATCTAGTTCTTAAGTATATCATCAGCTTCTTGTCACTTAGCTGAAACCAAATGAAGATTACGAAACCTGGTGAAGTACTCAATAGCCATGTCCTCGGGAGGTAAAGTTATTACGCTCTCCAACATATCTCCCGGAAAATGAGGTAAGAAGTTTTTGCTCCACGTAGCAAATTTAGGAAACTTAGCAGCATCAATTACCTGAAAATCAAGAACTTTTTCCACAATAACCCCAAGCCAAAAAGGGATCCAACCCACCACTATGTCAAGATATCCAATGCTTTGTCCCCCAAAGAACTCTCCTTTAGCTATTAGCTCTTTCTCTAATACTTCAAGAATATCCTCAAATGCTTCAAGGCAATCTTTTCTCTCTCCTTCTCCTGCAAAGAACAACTTTCTTGCTGCCTCCCGACCCTGTATTTAAACCAAATCATAATCTTCATTGATGATAAAAAAGTATGACTAGTTTTAATTTTTACATTTTGAGGAGCCAGAAAGATATCCCCTCAATCTCCAAATTGTAATAAGAAATTCGTCACCCCACTGAAGAATTTACGAGGATGAGTAAAAAGTTTGGTCTTTTTATGTTACTTTAAACTCAACGTTTTTCACACGTTATAGTGGAAGAGTTCGCAATATCTTGCATTTCTAAATACTGAATTGCAATAATCTTTTCTTACTTGCATCCTTTAAATTGTAATTGAATTCTTTTATAGCTCAATATACTTTATGCACAAGTTCAACTTTTGATTAAGGGTAGTCATTCGACACAGAGTCTTCAAATTTATCATACAACACAAGCAAATTTAAATATGAAAATTTTAAAAATGATCATCGTGAGCTAAAGCAGTTGATAGGAGAAACAAAGACAGTTTTGAATAAGATCCCATGGTTCAGTCAAGAAACAAAGACAGTTTTGAATAAGATCCCATGGTTGTAACCTTAAGACAGTTCTAGGTTATCTTGGTCTTGAGTCTACATAGTCAGCAGAGATAGGCAACCCATCCTGAGGATCCTTATCTGCAACCATTGGTTAATTCTTCAAAGGGGATCTTATAGACCAAGGGACAATATTTGTCTTATGGGACTAATCTAAGTCAGCCTTAGCTTATAGAACGCATCGTATCCCTAACAAATATACTCTATATATAAACACTGAAATGGAAATAATGTGATTGTGAAACATACGAACTATAGCCATGGTTGTAATATACTAGTTTCACTTAGTGACAAATAATTAGGTTGAAATGATCTGGTTGTATGTGTTTTTCGAAGTGATATTCGACAATAAAATCACATAGATAGAGGACTCAGGAAATATATTTACTAGCATGAGATTTTTGTATACACAACTTTAGTAGTATGTTTGATATGAAATTTACACTTTATGAACTCAAGGCAATAATAGATTTATCTACCTTGACAAATAGTTGTTAGGGGCAGATGGATTTTGCTTAAAGCATTAGGTGATTTATATTTGAGAAATTTATCTTATGAATATATCGCATTCGACTGAGATGCACAATGAATATGCCTATCATTAGAGATTTATTACTTATATGTTTTTGAGAGATTTAGTCAATTTAACTCTCGTCTCTGTGAGGAATAAGATAAAACTTTCTTAATTAATGATCAATCTTATCAACTCAAGTTTCTATAAGGATGATCAGACTTACCAAGATGTAAGGCTTATGATACAAAAAAAAAAGTACAATTTTATATATACCTTTTATGCTTAAATTTGGTGATATTAAAATTTAAAGAAGGGTAATTTCATGTTTTAGGTTTTTGGAGCAAAAATGAGAAAAAAGGAAGAAATTTTGAGTCAAAACATAAATTTTCAGCATATTGGCAGTAGAGGCACAAGAACTGGCGCTAGAGATGCCACTTTACAGAGAAGAGGAGTTAGAGGGGCTAGAATGGTGCCAGAAGTGCCAGAATCCAGAGAGGAGTGCAAAACTTCAGAGAACATGAGCTAGAGGCACCAATGATAGATTTAGATAAATTATTGGTGGTTATTGACTATTTTTTAAATGTTCTAAAAGGCTCTAGGTAATTCAAATGCCTCATGGAGTGGTTCAATGCATCTAGTCGCTTGGGGAAGGTTCTTGAATGAAGAGATATGACTTTTGGATGAAGGCATTTGTCTCTTGGTGTGTAGAGGTGCGTCTCTTAAAGAAAAAAGAGGGAATTTTTGAATTTATATGGAGAAGAGAGGCTGGTACCACTCTTAAGAAGTCTAGGGATGTCTTTGGCATGCTGAGTCTTGTCTTGTGTGTGGCATGTAGCATCCTTAGAGGAGAGTTAGGTTTTAGAGAGGATTTTCTTCTAGAATTGCAAGAGCAGAGGGAAGGTGAGAGATTTTTACTTTGTTACATTTCTAAGAGAGAATTAAGTGTGATTGTAATGAGAAAAACTGCTTAAAGTGAACTTTAAGAGATTTGCTTGAGGAGGAGTGCAAGATAAGTTGTGTTATTTCCTTTATTTATTTTGTAAACTTGTTTTTATATATAAAATCCATGTTTCGTCATATCCTCCTCATGAATTAGGAGTAGTCTTATTTTTCTTTCTCCCTACAATGAGACATGGTTTTGTGAAGAATTAATAATGTTGTGCAAGGTTTTAAATGTCAAAAAATTGTAATGATTCCAACTTTGATCTTCATTTACTTTTTGATCTGACCAATTGAAATGTTAAAATTTATTGAGAATCATAAGATCGGAAAGGGCTTTGCTTTCTACAAAAAGGTGAGAGTCACATTAAATTTCATGGATGAGAATGCAGTACATAGGGTTGAGTGCAAATAAATATGAAAATATATTTTGACGGGCGTAAAATTGGAGATTTTAGGGTAACCGACTAAAATTCCCAATTTGGTCAAGTTATTTTGAAACTAAAGAAAGATTGTTAGCCTCAAAGAAGGGAAACGTGGGAGCACTGGAGTGGGAGCCAATATCCCCTTAGCCTACACGAATTTAGGAGAAAAAATCTTGATTAGCAAATGTTCTTTATGCACTTGTTAGATGATAAAGACTAGGTTGTCTCCTATTTGACACAATACAAATTTATATAAAATTATAAATGATTTTAATTATTTCACAAACCATAACCTCATTGTTTGTAAAGGTGAAGGATGTTTTCTAAATTTGAACACTTTGTTACAAAACTTTGTTTAGTCTTAGTAAATTTAATTTTGAAGTTTAGAAAATAGCTTAGTTGACTTAATTCTTTTAGCTACATTTCCATTAGCATACATTAAACTTACTTTCAACCTATTTTTCTTACTTAAGTTTTTATAGTTTGAGTATTATGTTTTACGTTATAACCATACAAATTTCCGCCTCCCTGTGGGATCAATACTTACGCCTCCATTAGAGTCCTTTATTATACGAGCGATACATATACTTTTGTAATTACTAGGTTTGGAAGCTTAAAGATTTTAAAATAGAAAATTATTTAGACTGAAGTGATTCTTACACCGATTGAACTGCATATTTACTAATTGTGTTGTCGCGTGCGTTATAGTATTGAAAGATACTTACAACGCATATTGAAAACCACATGAAGTTTTTGGCACCATCGTCGGGAGGTAACAGTAAATTGCTTTATAATTTATAAGACTTTATTTGAACTGAAAACTTATATAGAGAAAAATCATAGTTTAGTAAATATTTATTAATATTTTAGTGTGTTTACTCATTTTAGTTGCGTATTTCATTTTTGTATTTTAGTGTGTTTATTCATTTTAATTACATTGTATGAAGTGTCCACACTATGTGTTACCAGTATAGGTAATAATTGAAATTTTTTATAATGGATTGGTTGGATCTCTTAGATCTATAATTGATGTTGCTGCTGGTGGATCATTAATGTTAAAATCATTCAATGAAGCATATTCTTTAATTGAAGAGATGACTTCTAATAATTTTTAATGGCCCTCTGAAAGGGTAACTCCAAAAAGAGTTGCTAGTATTCATGATTATGATGCAATATCTATTTTAGCTTCTCAAATTACTGCAATGTCAAATAAGATATATCACTGGGAATGAATTGTTCTAAGGCATATCCCGTGCTTGAGAAAAAATTCATTGAGACAAATGATAGATTCTGAATCATCATATGAAACATTAAATGTTATAAACAATCAAATTAATAATCCTTATTCAAATTATTATAATCCTGGTTAGAAGAATCACCCTAATTTAAGCTGAAATAGTAATAACTCTAATGTTGTACATCCGCAATACGGGAACAATCTTGTGAACCCATTAAGAAATTCAAACAATCAGAGAAACATTAACTATAAACCTTATTGTCCTATAGGTTTTAATAGAAATTGTCCTATAGGTTTTAATAGCAATTCACAAATTAAGGAGAAGAAATTGTCAATTGAAGAATTAATATTGTAATGGGAAATCAATTATAAGATCAAGGAGCTGCAATTAGATACATGGAAAATCAGTTGGGATGTATTGCTACTGCACTTAGCAATAGAACTCCAGGAACCTTGTCTAGTAATGTTGAATTTAATCCTAATGATCAGAATAAAGAGCAAATTAAGGCTATTCAACTTAGAAGGAGAAGAGAATTAGAAACAAAAGTTCACAATATTTATCATTTCCACACTAAAAATTTTTAACTTTATGTTTTCCTTCATTACTATAAATTTTTAACGAAATTCTCGTACTCATTTTTATATTCAAAATTTTACTTCCCTAATATAACTTCATATACATGATCATTTTTCTTCAAATCAAAATCAAATTTATTTGAAGTACATTTGAAAACAAATAAATTTCAAATTTTTAAAATTTTTTCATCCCCCACCCCCCTCCGAAACTTAAATTTTTTGTATAATAAAACATTTTAGCATCATATATAAATTAGCAAGAATGAAAACTAAAGATAACATGCTAACAGGAATTTTTACATCCTAAATGTACAAGTACAAAAAAAAACATGGGTAAAAATTAAATTGATCAAATTTTAATTTCTTAAAAGTAGAGATTTATTAGACTTCTATGCAGTGGAGGATACCGTAAAAGAAAACAAACAAAATAACAAACTTACACAACTACAACATAAAGAAAAATATCTGGTAGTAAATTAAAAATTTTAAGCATGAAGTTTTTAAGTAAAAGTTAATAGTCTTCTAAACATTCCTAAGATTCAGAATTAAGTTCAACATAGAATAAATAAATACTATACACAACACAATTACACAATTATTACAAAAAAAAAATACAGTAACTACTCACAAAAACATAAATACATCATAGCATTGTCTAATAAAAGAAAATTCAAATAAAACTAATAGTCTAAACAAATACAACTCCAAACACAACAAAAGTACAGTATAACCGCACCATAATCAGTTCACAACAATACAAAAAAAAAACTAAACTAAACTAAAG